TTAAAAATTTTGGAGTATCCTTTAGAAACTACGTTAAATGAATGAGGGGAAAAAAAAACTTAAAAGCATAGATTGTTTAATACATAAATATGGAAAATCTGATAACGACAATTGTTACAGATGAGATAAAAATAAATTCTAAGATACCTTAAGTATTAATTAAATGGCTGAAGGCCAAAAACTGCTTTCTGCTCTCCATTGGAATACCAGTTGGAGTAAAAGGATCAGGATTTGGCCCTACATCTACCAGCCACTACCAAATAAGGTTCCTTGCAGAATTCAGTAGCAGAGTTGATGGCAATCCAGACACAGTGGGAGGAAGCTGTTGTTCTCTCAGCCTCCTCGACACAAGGGCAAAGGATTCAGTTTTCTTCCTCAAGGTATAACTTTCACTTTCCCATGTCCTGAAGTCCCCATACCAGTACTTTCTGCTGGCTTTTCCTTCCTGCTTGGCCAAGATCTCCATGACATTTAGCAGTATGGGAAGGATGGGGTGGTTATGATTGCGAGGATGAGATCCGCAGCTGTATTCTGGATGTGCTTTCCCTTCCTTCACTATTCTGGTAATAGCACCGGTCGCACCTTCCCAGCCTGATACTCTTGTATCAAATGGCCCTGACATGCCGCTATGGTAAGTGCCTGGCTCATTCTACCTGCTGGTGAAGTGGGTGGGTGGGCTTAGATGGGCAACGGCACTTTTTGGTAATAACTTGGTGCTCTCTGAGTGAATAAAAGTGTTATTCGAACTCTAGCGGTAGAGGGTGTAGGATTAGAGCATTGTGCATTCAATGCTGTGATTCGTGAAGTTACAATGCTGTGTTTCAGCAGCGGAGCAGTGTGCTTCTGAGTTAACACAGGGGATTCTGTGGTGCTGGCGCATGTAGTGATAGAGATAGTCATATCTCAGAGCTAAAGGTTTCACAGCAGGTCATATGTTTTGACATTTTTCATGTATGGGGAAAATGCTCTAAGGAGGGGATGTCGTTCTGTATCTGTAATTTAAGTCCACAGAAAAAAATAACTGCATATTTTTCATGTTTGTCCTTAAATGTATAAAGGACATGTTTAATTAGTAACCTTTAAAATTTTATTCCATTCCAAAATTTTCAGGTAGCTGTTAAACTGTTGCGCTTTTTTTGGCTTTGGCTATATCTGTGGATGGATTTGAGCCCTTATCTTTCAGCTTTGTTACAGTTCGCTGGGACGACTTGAGCTTTGTGCTCAATCTCCTCTTTTGACAAATGTGTTTGGGAAGGATGCCTGGAGCCTATGGAAAGCATACTGAGGGCTTAAGCAGTTAGCATGCCAGGAGTTGTCCAGCTACTAACTCATCCTGAATCAGAGCGTACTGGTGTGTTTTTCATTCTCTTCTAAGTAGCTGACCACAGTATTCATCTATTTTAAGTACTTTGCTTGGAACTCTCTGACTGAACTAATTTTACCAGAGCTGTGTGATGATAGGCTGGTATGTTGTATTTCCTTTCCCATATACGTGCAAACTTTTTGCGTGCTTTCACATTGGGGTTTTTTTGTTAATTTGTTCACTTTAAGTCTGTGAGTGCTCATCCCTTTTAGAAGAGAAGCATTTGCAATAGTAGCAGCTGAACATGGTATTCAAAAGAACCTGGTTCAAAGACCTATTCTTTGTTTACTGGCTGCAGCATTAACTAATGAAGAATGAGGTGTTTGAACATTTGTTTATCTGTGCCGAGGCAGATTCTAACCCAAGCCCAGTTTCAGTATTTTATTTGATACAAACTCCTGTTTTTCACTACTGATCCAGAGAATAAGCTTGCATTTCCTGTTGCAGTGACATCTCAGCTACACCATGGACAGATTGCTGCACACTGCTCTGAATTCTGCTTGTCTTAGTAGTTGCAGAGAGGCCGTACCAAGAGCCTCTGTTAGGGGAGATTTTGCAGGCTTTCCCATGTGATTATATAGAGGTCTGTGCTGTAACCTGACAAGGGTGCTTCCCAGTTTATAAAGCATAAATTATTAAAGCAAAATGGTATTAACAATGTACACTAAAAGCCTAGACAGTACCCCCTTCATAAGTAGAGAGCTCAGCTTCTGTTACTGGATTGTTGACTCACAGCCCTAGCTTCTATTTTGACATTTGATTCCTGCGGCTGACCTCTGATTTTCTTTTCTTTTTTCCCTCTTCTGGAGTCCTTTTGTTGCAGTGAGTTCAGATAATGTCTTGTCCTTTTCATACGGTGAAAGAAATCTTAATGCATTTTTCAATTTTGCAAAAGCCAAGTGCATTTAGTGTAGAATTCCCAAACAGGACTATGCAGCCTGTCAATTCCTCGTGCTCCTATCTGTATAGCTCTCTGTGTGTCCCATACTTAGAATCGCTTTACTGATCCAGATTTCCCCCATCCAAGCTTCCTGGAGTTAATTTGCAGGGTGTGACCACTGTCTGGTGGAAGGATGTTGCTCTCGGATTAGCTTGTTAACCCCTAGACTTTTGACCTTTCATGTCTTATTCTACAGGGTTGGTTAGATTTATTCCTGTAGTTTCTTTGTTGGATTTACTGTATTTCATTTGATTTCTAAGTAATTATTAGTTCCGTATTTATGACCACAAAGAGCTTTTATGGAACCAGCCACTAAAACTGTTTTACCCACAACAAGGTACAGCACTCCAGATTTGTACCTGCCCTAGCGTAGCAAGACTATCTTGCCGTGTTTCAGTGACTGTAGATCTACTCCCATCTTTTTTGCCACAACTTACCCAAAGTCAGTGACTAGATGAGGTTGCTTGGTCTCTGGGGATCAGCTGTCTGTAAAATTCCTTATTAAGCATTTATAAAGATAGCCTGTCAGTTCCGCGTACGTTTTTCGTTTTGTTTTCTCCTTCTCTGTGCATTTGGTGCTTTCTTTAGTCAGTTATTTGTTGTTTGGCCTCAGCACCCTGCTCAAAGTTTTATAGTACATACAAATAAAAGCAATCTGTGCCCTGAAGATTTTACATTCTGAAGACACATGGAAAACGGAGAAATCCAGATGTTGAGGATTTTGGGATTCTTTAGCTGCTGTTGGGATAGTTTTGAATGATTTTGCTTTTACCTTATATACAGTTCTTTTTCTGCATTGGAAAGAAATACCAGTGGAGCAAAATTCTTGCTTCAGATATGCTGCACTGAATAACTGCCCCTAAGAATATGTCATGATCTCAGCTCTAAAATAGGTTGCATTGTCTTCCTCTGTCTATATTGAACCCAGTTTGGAGCCTCTCTGTGCCAAAGGACATTTGCCAGCCTGACAGCTGGGTACAGTTGATAGTTGCCTTCAGTCTGGCTAATAGGATCTTGTTTTCCAGATTAGGAAATTAGTTATATCAAGGGCCCTACTTCCAAATGGGGTAAGAGGCTTAAGCTTCAGGAAAGGATGGGCTACTCCTGGTTTCATGTAGCAACCAGGAAAAAAAGTGATGCACTCTGAAAGCTGCTGAAATCTGATATGATTGTGCTTAGCTTTTTACTAGAATCATTCATATTATCCATATAGAAATCATTTAATCTGTGTAGGCTGGTGCTCTGATGTGGGTTACTGGATACAGAGACACCTCAGACAAGTAATGCTGCAAAAAATACAGCCATGTCTTGCTGGTTTTGCGAATGACTGCAGTTAATCATTTGGCTTCTTGTTCTTACAAGGTGGGACTGTGTGAAGGGGAAGCACTGAAGCACAAGGCTCTCCCTTTCTTAAGTCCCTAAGTCCTCCGAGTTGTTTGAAACCATTCCCATTGAGGTCAGTGGCAAAACTTTTGTTTCGTCAGTTCGGGATTAGGCCTAAACCCTACACCCATTTTGACGGAAGAAATCTGAGAACATATTATTTCTCTTCCTAAATGTCAAGTTTTAAAAGGGGATGAGCTGGAGGGAGGGTTGTGTACTGCTCGCCGTGAACTGAATTTTTTTCTGCAGGAAGTCACTTTTCTTCAAGGCCAAAGATAAATAGTGAAATGCTAGAAATTTCCTAGGCCCTGCCTTTCAGCTGTCTAATCGTGTTCTTTGCAGAGACACTTAAGACTCTCTGCTATGTGCAGTGTTGCTTTAAATTGTCAGTTTGTTCAGTAACCATTTTTACACTGTCTTGTAATATAATAAGAAGGGGTCACTGTTGAAGCTAGCAGCACACCATTTTAGACTTGATCCAAGAAGATACTTCATTTTTTCACAGTGTTGTCTGCCCATGGAGTGCCATGCCACAGTACACCACACTGGAGAGAAGCTCAGCTGGACAGAAAGCAGTCTGCATAGTTCCATCACAAACGGTTTTTATATTTATCCATGATAGGATGCACATAATCAAATGTCATGATGTTTCAGGGCAGTAGCTTTTCCCATAGGATCCACTACATGACACTAAAAATAGATTTAATTCTCTATTTCTGTTCTGGGAGAAGTAATTTCACTTTTGTTCTGATGAATTACATGGCTAGTAATCTGATCAGAGTAGCTCTTCAATTGAAAGAACTACGAAGAAGCTAGCGAGCAGAACAAACTGTTCTGCTCCCCCATTTTATTTCACTCGATGTTACTTTGCTGTCAGGTCCTTTCCCCAGTTATTTTTCTTCAGCTGCATTCCTCTGCAAGTAGCAAGTCCTTTGGCTGTAAAATTAAAATAGGGGAGGAGAAAGGCAGCAATGTCTGAATCATTTTATAAAGTCATCTTGATCTTATCTCCAGCCCTTTCCGCCCAAACCCACCAAACTCTTTACTGAGCTGTGTGCCTATAAATAGAACAGCTGCTCTCATGCAGAGATGGGCAGCTCTGAACCAGAGGCTTGTTTTCTCTGAGCGGTGCGTGCATGCGAGAGCTCGCTTCTCACTGGCCTTTCATGTCTGAGTTATGTAGCTGTGAGGTTTTCTATAGATAGAGGCTGGCAAATGACATAAACTGCTACTTAGGGTGGGGCAAGGTGACCTCTGGGATTGTTGCCTGTTGGTTAAAAAAAAAAAAAAAAGAGGGTTCTGTTTAAGAGAGGAATGGAGGAATGCACATCTCGTGCAGAGGTGAGTGAGCCCTGCCAGGTGAGGGGAGCCGCCCGATGGGCGGCACTCAGGGGCTGAGTGTGGCTGTGGGAGCTGAGGGAAAGCAGAGGCGTTGTTTTGCTGTGAGTTACTGTTCTGGTGGGCTGAGCAAGAGTTTGAGCGGCCAGAGTGCTTGACCGAGCCTGGGGAGTGCGGGGCTGTGGCTGACCCCAGTTTAAATGTGTCTGTGAATAAGCGTAGCAACAGAGCTCTGAAATCTCCTCCTGCAAGTTGCTCTTTTTTGATCAGACTCCTGTCGGACTTGATACCTTTGGGCTTTGCATCCTGGGAGTCTTCCCCAGGATTTTAAATTCCTCTCTGACTTCAGTTCAGGTCTCTGCAGAATTCAGTAGCTACTTTTTCTGTCTAATTTTTTAATTATATGTGGGTTTGCCCAAGGAATGCAAAAGATCCCTCCATATTTCTGTCTTAATCTGGAAAATCTCTTGCCACTTTCCCATCTTCTTCCCTGTAGAAAGTGAACTGCAGAAATCTGTGATTTCTTTAGTACAGTAATTCAGATGCTGTTGCTTAACATTTCTCTTTGATACTCAGGTGCTGGAGGTTAAAGTAACTCATCAGATAGGCATATATATATATATATATATATGTATGTATGTATTCTAGGAGGACTCTGACAAGTTGGGCAGCGTTGTTTGTTTCTCTTGGCAGCTGGGAGATGGAGACACACAGAGTGAAAATTACTTTATTGGGATCTCATAGTATCTGTGGCTGAATGCACCTTTCCCACATTCAGATGAGTGCCTTCAGCTCTGGCTTTGGGGTCATTTCAGCAAGGGATGCTGTTGGGTCAGTCTTTGAACTCCATTTTCTCTTACGCTGATGCTTCAGATTAAGATCATGGCTGAGTTTTAGATTCTTTGCGTAGCACCAGCTCTAAGTTGGTTTAAAATCTTGTTTCTGGGTATCACTATATTGTGTTCAACTTCTGGTCCCTAAAGCCACTCCCAGATGCCTTATGGCTTCTTAGAGTGTATTCCTACTGCTGTGTCCCTGCTGTGACATGTGGAAAATGGGTGGCAAGATGTCTATCAGCAACCACCTCAGAGTTGTGGGGAGCTGGTGTGGGAGAAGCCATTTTTAAATGTGAGCTTAGTCTTCGATTGAGCATTTTCATTATGTCTTTTCATTCTGCTGAAAATACCGTGGAGTTTAGCGATTCCTGATTGAACCAGGCACACTAAGTTGGTGTTTGCTTGAGCACTGACAGGTATTTCTGCCAGGGTGCAGGTGGCTTTGTGAAACAGAGCCCTAGGAAACAGTGAGGTTTGGGGTTTGCTAGCCTTGAACTTGGCCAGGTCCCAGGCTCTAAGGTAGATGATGTTTCTTTTGGAGGAGATGAGGAGCTCTTATCCTTTTCTCTTTCCCAGCGCAGATGGAGGACAGTATATAGTGGCTCCTATGGCTGGCGGCTCTCTTTCAGATCTGGGGGTATGTAGGAGGCTCTTTCCCAGCTGATTTGTGAGTAGAGACATCACCGTGGTGGTCCAGGCCCTATGATTTCTTGGGCCAGTTTGAGGATGGCTCAGTCTAGCAAGAGAGGAGCATGTATTGTCAGACGGATGTTTCTTCTTATAGTCAGCATTTTTTTCCAAGTGCTTTTTGAGGAAACTTTGAGCTTGGCAAGGGCTAGTGTGTGTGGAAAGTATTAAAATCTGCAGCTGTTTCAAAAAGGAAAGACCAACATTAGAAATATATATAGCATTTTAAAAGCAAGTTGAGTGTCCTGGAAAGGATTTCTTAAGTGAACTAAACCCTGTGGATCAGTAAGAGCATTTATTTTGTGCTCTGTAGTAGCCTGGCAGTGTACATCTAATACTGTGTTTCTAATTAATTGATACTGATGGGTGACCTGACTCTGTTACAAACTTGAGTTACACTGAGACCTCTGGTATGTTAAAGCTGTGTCATTTTCCTGGCATGAAGATACAGAATAACCTGTTTTACGAGATTGTCAGACCATTTGCTTCCTGTGTTTTAACTGTGTGTTTATCGCATTGGGCTCTCTCAACAAGTGGGTTCCTGGGGGCTGTTTCTTGGGAAGAGAAGTAGGTTTCTCCTGGTACGGAGGCATGACCACTGTTTTCAGTTCCTGGGTAATATCTTCAGTCAGTAATTTGGGGCTGAACCCTCAGCTCTGGCTTTTCTGCCTTGTGTTTCTAAACTGCAGTTTTTGAGATTATTTTCATGTAGCTGTTGATATTCAAAATCTGTCCTCGGCAAAGGAATCATGTATTTGACAAAGCAGAATGAAGTGCATGTAGATTAAATACATACCCCTATGTATGCATAGTATGTGCGAGAGCATATGGGACTGTGTATGCTGGTATGTCAACCTAGTTATAAAGTAGTTAAGGGGAAAAAAAAAGGCAGTGTGCGTAGACAGTTTTGGCACTCCAGCCCTGGGAAATGGCAGCCAGCCAGAGAGTACTGAGGCAGGGCCAAGACTATCTGAGGAATACCAAATGCTGAAGTTGGATATAGCTCCTTCTTCACTCTAGTTTCACTCTTCACTCTGTGGGCCTGCAGCTTGCCAGCTCTGTGCCAGGTAGATGCTGATAATTTCACAAGGCAGAACTGGAGATAGGAACAGATATACTGTGGTGTGTATGTACTTGTAATCAAATGCCAATTAAATCAAAGGCAAAATTACCTGCAACTGAAATCTGACCTCAGTGAATTTAACTGTTACACTCCCCAAGTCATTGTTAGGCTTTGGAATCTCATTCAGTCATAAGTTATTTATCTTTTTTGGTATGGTGATAGCACTGGAGACGATAAAACAACGCAGTGTGGATTATGTGCTTGCTTATGTTGAATGAATTTGCTAGGCACTTCCAGCAGAGGGCACTAAGATTATTGATCTCAAACTCCAGTCTCTCTTGGTACGGGTATATAATGGGAGAGCATGAAAGATGCTTGTAAATAAAATTTATGCTTCATCCCTCTCCATTCCTTGTGTTTTGTAGACTATCATCAAAGAGGGGATGCTGATGAAACAGACCAGCTCTTTCCAGCGCTGGAAGAGACGATATTTTAAGCTGCGAGGACGAACACTCTACTATGCAAAAACTGCTAAGGTAAGATCTTGACAATATATATGAATCCAGGGGAAGAAAGTAAGTGGTGGAGCTTTTGGAGGCAGATTAGGTGTCTGTGAGAAGGCAGCCCTCCACAGAGAAAAGAGCATGTGCTTTGAAAGCACCTGTCTTCAGGTTTAGTAGCTGCTAGAGAACCTGTGTTTTGCCTCACACTTGGAAATCTTTGTTTTTTAAGCAAAGCATCATGTGGACCTGTGATAGTGATTTTTCCATATTTCTTTTTGCCTTCGTGCATTTTAGTAGGGAATGGACTCTGAATCAATAGAAGTTGAAAGAGAAAGGAGAAAATATGAATGAAGAGGAAATGGAGGAGATAAGCAAAGCTAGAATTTATCAAATCAGAGCTGTCATGCATCTGGCGTAGTATATTGATAGTCAACTAGATATAAATCTGTCTCCTTTCACAAAACAAAGCCTACTTTTTTTAAAAAAAAAATAATCCCTTAATAAAATTAAAGTCATTGTGTTCACTGACTGAAGACAGATGAGTGCGAGCCCCACTTTATGGAACTAGACTTCTGAGTCTTTCACGTTGTTGGTGCTGGGCCTTTTCTTCAGATCAGAAAAGGCTGTAATGGAGTGTGCCAGGCAGAAATACAGGCATGTCCCTTTGGGTCTGCCGCTTGTACATTGGATTCAGTAATTCATTGGGGTTTTGATTTTTTTCTTTCCAGTCCATTATTTTTGATGAGGTGGATCTGACAGATGCCAGTGTGGCAGAATCCAGCACTAAGAATGTCAACAACAGCTTCACGGTAGGATTTTTTTGCGTTATTTCCTATTCTTCTTACATCTTTTCCCCACATCCCTTTTCTTTTGCAGAGTTTGAAAACATCTGAACAATCTTCACAGCATCTTTCAGTGAAAAAAAAAACCCAAAACGATCTAACTTTTTTTTCCTTACAGCAATTGTAACTCATCTCCATGCACATGTGAAACAGATTGAATTACTATGTATAGTGCTAAAACTTTGCATTCAGGGATTTTCTTACCTATAAGCTAGGAGAGCTTGATAGAATGCTTTTACACAGTGGGACAGAAAAACTTGTTCTGCTAAGGGAGTTAGGGGTGATAATGATGTTTATGCTGGAGGTCTTGCTAAAGGAATTTAGTTTTCCCTTCAGGCCTAACAATATGTAAACTTATTTCTCTGACTTTATTTGTATGTGGCTGTATGTGTGTTTATATATGTACACTATGTATAGTGGCAAAGTGAAAGGGAGAAAAAAAAAACAGTTGCAGAGAAATAACTGAAATTAGTTTTGGAGCTGGCTAATAGGAATAACTTCCACGCAGCCTCTGATGGGCTCAAAAGGGAGGAGAGAGGGGCTTGTGGAGAAAGGAGACAGTGTGGGTCTAAGAGAGGGTGGAGGGGGGAGCAATCCGGTGAAGGGAGGAAGCTGATCCTGCAGGATGTTGACATGCAGGTGGTGACCAAGACTAAGTGGTGCCCCTTGCTGTGCAGCACTAATGATCACTGCTTTCAACGTCTAGCAAAGGATGTTTCTGTTACATAGCTGCAGCTTCTTGTTTTGCAGACCTGTGCAAAGTGGCTGTGGTGCCCACCCTATGTGCAGATGAAACCCAAACACTTTCTCAATGTTTGAAACACTTTCTGCATCTGTAATTGGACAAGGAGGAAGCATATTTGGGTCTGATAGTAAATGATGTCAAGTGTCAGTGTGTGCACATAGAGAGAAGGATTCTGCAGTGATTTCAGTAGGGGACACATTTTCAAGAATGTGAAGTTACTTACCTGTTAATAAAGAATTTTTTCTTGGGTCTTGCTTCAATTTTCCTATATGTAAGTATAGACTCATTTTTCAGGTAAGCAAATGTACTGTTAGTGTTTTTCTTATTGTTATAGTTGGGAGAGATCTAATCTCTGTCAGGGACACTATGTGTAGGCACAGGTGTGTTTACTCTCTCAGATTAATCCATCTGAGTCCAACAGTGAAGAGTTACTTCTATGGCAATGGTATCAGGCTCTGACAGTCCCTGCCTTCCTTAGCAGGTAAAAAGTATAGGATTACTCTGAGAGTCAAGTAGCAGGTACAGTTTGCATTGTCTCGGGCTTATCACTATATCATGAAGCTCAGGTAAACTTAAAGAAAAACATCTCTTAATTTCTATCTCCTCTTTCTATCATGGCTTACAGAGGGTTTTGACTGTGGTTTACCATGAGCTATAAAAATACTTAGGAAATCAGAAGTTTGCCTAGTCTTGCTGCTGTTTGGTCTGCCACATCACTGCTGTCAGTGCTTTCGGTTCTTTGCAGTCTTACCATTTTCTCTTGGTTTTCTTTGAGAGCACTCTGTTTCCCCCCTGTATCTCCCCAGCTCAGTTCCTTTCTAAAATTTTGAGTTCTTTGATGCATTTTTCTCCTGTTTCAAATCAGTGGGACTCACTATCAAGTTTTTAATCTAAACCAGAAACATCCAACATTTGGTGTTGTGTAGCAGAGACAGTTATTCTGGAGTTATAGATGTTCTGATTTTCTTTTTGTTTCTGTGTTTTCTTCAATGGAGACTGGTAGCTTTTGATGTATGGAAGAGTGGTTTCTTTCTGAGGAAACTCATCATCTGTCCAGGCATCTGTACTGCTTAATGTGTAGATTCTTCAGGTTAGGTTGTGTGAATGACACTCCTTAGGTGCTAACAAAGGAGGCAGGAAACAAAAACACTAGATAAACCACTTAGGGGCAGTGTGGATCCAAAGCAAAGAGGTAATAAGGGGTGACCAGTCAGAAGAGAAACTGGTGAAAGGACAGTGAGGATCATGCGGAGGCAGCACCATGAGAGACGAAAACCAAAGCACGGAACCAACAAAGATTATATTGCATAAATAAGGGAATAAGGTTAAAAAATACAGCTGCCAGTAAATCTTTTACATAGGACATAAGTCTGAAAGCTGGTTTGTTTGCTGTCAGCAGGCAGGAGAGAGAGAAAAGTGAGTATTAAGATGCAGACATCTTCCTCTAAAAAGAAGAGTGTGTAGTACGGGTTCCACTGCTATTCACTTAGTTGATCTTGCATAGATTTCTCCAGTGAGTATATCCTGTTTGCAGTGGGGACAGTTGGCAGGACTGCTACCCAGAGTTAATGGATATCATAGAATCATAGAATGGTTTGGGTTGGAAGGGACCTTAAAAATCATCCAGTTCCAACCCCCCTGCGGGCTGTGGGAGCACGTGACTAGGGGCATCTTTGAGCTTAAGATGTTGTACAGGTCTGTCCCCCAAGAGGTGTCAGGAAAAGCTTTATGTTTAGCTATTGCTCCTTTAGGTCAGGCAGTGTGGCTGCAGTTATTTAGTAGGAAGCCTCTGGGAACAAATCATATAGCAGCCCCATGCCAGGCCTCCCTTCTCTCAGACGTAATATTTGCTAGTTCTGTCACATCTCTGCCAGCTCTGTCCTTCTAAGTCATCTGTCTACAGGATAAATTCTTTTGGGATATCTGGGCTGTAAGTGACTGGTTCTTGCCATGTATGATCCCTTAGTACCTGGTTTGTAGATCTCTCACCAGTGCATTTTCCTATGGCTGCTGTCTTTTCACCGGGCCTTAGAGAGGATCTGCTGTGGTAGAAACTCAATGGTAACTATGTTGTCCTGGTATTTCAGACCCATTTATTTCAAAGAGGGTGATCGTCTTTTAGCCTGGATTCTCGCCGTCAGTGTGTGCCTACATTTGTACTCCATATGAAATAGAGATCATAAGCGTTGGATGGGTGAGGTCAAAGCCTGACCCTAACTTTGGAGCAGAGCTTTCCCAGCAAAACCTCTTGTGATTTCTAAAAAGCAGATGATTTGGGATCATGGTGGGCACATTGGGTCTTCCCAGTGAGACTTCATCTGTTTCCTTGAACAACTTTTTCTTGGACAGTGCAATTTCACAGTAAGTTCACTGGTTAATGCACCTGTCTAATGCATTAGCCTGCAGTTGCTCCAGGAGCATTAAAACAAAATATGTGATGAGGATGAGTTCCATACTTTTTGATCATGAAATAGTTTTTTCTCTAGATCATACCAGGAAGCCTGGGGTTTGGAGATACTTCTCTCAAAATGACTGCTCTACCTGTGTTGTGGACCTGAACCATCCCGCATGCCCATTCCCCTCTACGAAGCCTGTAAGGTTTCAGGGGACACTAATTGCTCTGCTGTCTGTTGCTCAGGCTAACACTTGGCCACCACAGCTATCCTCTCAAGGGTCTTTGAAAAGACTTTGTGTTGTCTCCTTAGGCCTATTTTTGTAAATATTTGTGTGGTAAACAAGTTCTTACTCCTCAGGTTGGTGTGTTGGCTGACAGTCTGCTCCTGCTTTCTAGTGGGTGCCATCTGAATTAAGCCTGCTGCCTTTGATGCACTTGGCACAGCTGATGGACTGAGTCTTTATCAGTTCATTGACCCTTTCCTTCCTTGTGCAGGATATTCATAAAGCTAAAGGGGAAAAAAAATAAAAAATTTGTGTTCTTTAATACTAATAAAAAACACCTGTCATCAACAGGAGAGGGCCTAGGAAGGACATCAGATCTTTACAGGTACATATTTTGTCTTTCGATATCATGATTCTCACATGGTGTTTTTGTAAATGTTTTCCAGTTATTGCTAGCAAGTGATAGTGTAGACTTTCACCCTCATTCACATAACATGGATTACAACATTCACTTCCCATCCCTTCTTGTTCAGAGCTTTGAGATCCCATAGGAGAAAGCTCTTCTATGTGGAGAGAGATGTAGGTATTTTGCTTTCTTCTTTCTGAAGATATAGTGGAAGTGAAGCTTGGTCAGACCACGTTGTTGAGTGCCAGGATCCATGCTGTTGGCTCCTCCTCCCTAGTTAAAGGCTCTTCACTGGAAGAGGTGGAGCTTGAACTCCTGAGCTCCTGTAAACCCTTTTCTGTTGGGAAGTACCTCTCAGCTCAGCCGCAGACAGGAAACAGTATATTATTACAGTCAGTGCCTGCCTCTCTGCTTTGCTGCCGTCAGAAGGAAACTTGTCCCAGCTCCTCCTTAAGCAGACAGCTAATCAGCTTGTGGCAAGCAGAGCATAGCTCAGAAAGACTGACCACAGAGGGGACTAATCTTGTTAATTGCATGTCAAGCAATGTTTAGGTTTTTGGTTTTTTGTGGTTTTTTGTGGTTTTTTTTTTTCTGAGGGAGTGGGCTGCTCTGGACACTAGCTTAGAGGAAGATTGAACGTGAAAGGTAAGAGCAGGAGTCCAGGTTTTCTGGGCCAGAAAGAACCATGAGAAACATGGCACCTGTGCCAGCATAACAGATCATCAGGAGTTTGCTACAAGTTCTTACTGTTCAGGTGTTCTATCCTGTGTGGATTTATGTAGATAAGTTCTCCTGAATCAGGGTAAAGGGAAATGTGCCTGCAGTGCTGTTGGAAATGCTGCACCCATCAATTAAGAAATACTGTTTATTAACTGATGATTCACCCTAGCCAATGTCACAGGAGAGAGGAAGTACTGAGATTAGAGTAATACCTGTCTTTCAGAGCACTTGCATAGCTGGAGGCAACAATGGTTATGGTAGGCTGAGGAACAGGGAATTGCTGGTGCTCCAGAATAAGAGCATGCTATCATGTCTGAGAAGCAGCATGGATGTCATTCTCCAGCCCTATGGAAGTCTGAGGTGTGCTATGTTTTCTGTTATTGTCTCCTTGTTACTTAGTACTGACCTTATTCATCAGCAAAGATGCCAGTTTTGGTCTTTGGAAGTTTTATGTGACTGACTGATCTCCTTCAAGCT